CGAGACCCAGATCACCACAGATCTAATCAGGTTGTGATCTCACACATTGACAGAATGGTTCTATTCACTTTCATGTCTACTGTATATCTGCAATGGTTTGTCAAGATCAAATTATTCACTGCAAACAGCGTGGAGTCACCCAGCCTCACATTCAGACTCCTACCGACTCCTCTTCAGCTAAACATTTGAAGAATTTTCATTTAAATGTCCACAGCAGCATTTCTCTGGCACGTTAGGGCATGACGGGTTACTTTCAGCTCTAAGTATTATACTTGATGCAAATTGAGTATAATTAGCATAATCAAGTTTACTATATGAGTCAAATTGGTTTTATTTAAGAAATACATGTAAGATTACACACTCATTCTTTCTGCAAGAGCTATTTCAAAATACACCACTACCACCACCCTGCATCTTCAACGTGACATGAACACGCAATCCTTTGGCATTTTGAACAGTTTTAGATCATTTACATTCAAGATTTATACATTTGTTCCTTTCTTTCCTTTCATTACCTCCTCTGCCTACAGGCTCGAAACCAGTGATGGTAGCAAAAGAGTCAGGCATATGTGTGAAATACATTACACAGCACTCCCAATTTTCCCGCTGACTCCTCACCAGGGCCATTAGCTCGTCCATCTCACATTTCCCATGATGACGGAAGGGAGATACGGCTTGTATCTTCTCTTCTTTATCCCTTAGCATAACCCTTCCTCTACAGCTGGTGTTAACAAGGCACGGCTTTATGACACCACATGTGCGACAGGGTTTGGCTCTGTGATCCTTTAAACCCCACGAGAGTGTTAAGAAGAGCGTCTTCAGAGTGTGACGTCTAGAACAGGCGCACGATGAGCTACGCCGTCATGACCGTGCCAGGTGGAGTTTGGAGGTAGCCGACCAATGCATCCACTATGTTTGGGATAGATCTGCCATTCAACCAATACTGTGACCAAATGGCCTGGTCTGTTTTCTACTCTAGGGATAACATGAGTTCTTCTACTACAATGTATTGGCTGTCACAGGTCTGTTTATGATTTACACCTGTGCTCTTCCTTCTGTGATGTGAAAATTATTTGTAAAAGTCCTATGATTAGACCTTTGGTGGACCGTTGGGATTATCTGTCATTACAGGAGGCACATTTGAACAATGTGGTTTATACGATCAAACAAAAACCTAATTAAAGTGATTAAAGCAAGGCTGGATTACCCCAGACCATCGGGGGCCTTGTGCATCTTAATTTTATTAAATGTAAATTTGTAAACAAACAATGTGCACGGAAGTGGTTAGACCTGTATGGTGGCTCCTGCTTTATTACTTGATGCAAATACCTAAACCTACATACAGGGGTCCTTGAGCAAAATTTTGTCCCTGGCCCTCAGTTAATCCGGTCATGAGGTAGTCCCCCAGTGAAATGGTAATAATTGTTATAAATTCATATCGATTTCTAATTTTATGACTACCTACAGTATTCTTAGATTTAGATGTTTTCTATTTTCTATCACATTTCTAAAGATTTAATCAAAAAAGCTTAAGAAACCCCTGGCAGAGACTGTTACTGTCCTTGTCCCGGTGCTGTTTGCAGACTGCTAAGCAGAAGGCAGAATGACCAAGTCTTACAGTAAAAGGACATGACTCCAAATAAGAGGGAACACAACACCAGCAGCTACAGAGGCAGCTTTATGCTATGATTAATTTGCAACTGACTTTATTACACTATGTGATCCTCTTATATGAAGATGAATTGAAGAGCAGCTGGAGCTGGAGATTTAATTAAGATTCAGCATTCACCTTTTGCTGAGGTACCTTAGTTACTTAATTTTAATTAGACCATAGACCTGGCTAAGTGCTGGATTTAAACTGCTACAATTTGCTGATATCCTTGCTTTGCCCTACACACAACACTCCAGTTATATTGCAAAGCCCATATGTGGGAAATAATGTTTTGAAATGTGGGTCTCTGGGCAAAACTGGGTTATGGCCATATTTTTCATCAATATGAGGATGTCTTGCCAAAGGTCTGTACACCTAAGCAGAAAATGAATGTTATTTTTACATACGATATATATATATTAAAAGTAGAGTGTGGTAGTGGGAGACAAATTAACCCCTCAGTTTATAGTGATAATGAATGTCAGTGACTATGTTTACATGCACAAAATATTCAGTTTTTTCTTATTCCTATAATATGCCTATGAAGCTTTTTGCATGGCTAATGAAAATTAATAATTCACTAATATTCCTGTTTACATGCAGTCAAAGTTTTTGGTTGTGAACCGTGTGAACACAGTCTCCCTCTCTTGTTCTTCCAACAACCTGCTTGAAAAGGTCGGCGATATTGCGCATATCCGAAAACCTGTTGCTATGAAGTCTTTTATAATGTTTAAAATTATGTGTTTGTCCTTCTGACCAGAATTGTGGGTTTTCTTTTGTGCCTGAATCACTGCTCCAGCCTTGGGTAGCTGGTTTGCACAGAGCTGACCGTAAACAGGAAACCTGCAG